AGTAATGGTGGCTCTGAACTCACTTCCGCACACTTGGGAACAATTTAAAGTATCATTCTGTCACTCTGAAAGATTACTGAACATGCGCAATTTGAGGCATCATTTGCTCATGGAAGAAGATAGGAAAACTTCACAAGGGAAAGAGAGACAGTCACATCATCAGGAGTTACACCTTGGTGAAGATAGGAGGCGTTGGCAGAAGAAGCATCAAGGAGGTGATTTGAGGGACAAAATCAACAGGAAGAGAAACTGGGATGATCATAATGGAACAGGTCCAAACTCTAGTTTTGATAAGAGGAAATTTATATGTCATGGTTGTGGAGAGTATGGGCATTTTAGAACTGAGTGCAAGAATAAGAAGCCTTATAAACAAGATGACAAGTCTAAGAAGCAGCACCAGGACAAGCAGGACAAGCATCAGGTCCACAAGAAGGATAATTCTTCTCCTGATGGTACGTACAATCTATTTGTTTGTTCTGAATCATTGTTTACTACTTCAGCTTCAGATCATTGGGTAGTAGACTCTGGTTCCACTTCACATATTGCAAGGAATAGTGCTGGTTTCACCTCTTTAAAACCCATACCAAAAGGAACTAGATTTATTTATCTAGGAACAACTGCAAAAGCTGATATTTTGGGCATTGGTGATTATACACTCAAACTCCCTGGTGGAGGAAAATTAATTTTGAAAGACACAGTCTATTCCCCTAGCATGAGAAAGAATTTAATCTCTGTTTCTAGACTGGAATCTATTGGTTTTAAGGTCTTGTTTGGAGATGGCAAAGTTAAAATACTGATGAATGGAAATTTAGTTCAATCAGGAAATAGATTTGATGGTCTCTACTATATTGAGGATTTTATGGACATCGATAGAATGGATTGTATGGTGACTGAACAGAACTCGGTAGTGAGGAATATAGATGGAAACAATAATTGTTCAGAATCATATCTCTGGCATCTTCGTTTGGGTCATATCTCAAAGAACAGAATTAAAAGGCTGATTAGTTCTGGAATTTTAAACTTCAAGTGGGAAGACTACGGCATTTGTGAGGCATGTGTTGTAGGAAAAATGACCAGGGCGCCTTTTCCTAAAGCGTCAAGGTCTACTGAACCACTTGCTATTGTTCATTCAGATATTTGTGGTGAGATGTCTGTACCTACATTTGGGCAGAAGGTCTATTTCATTACTTTTATAGATGATTTCTCTAGATACGGCTATGTTTACTTAATTAAGCATAAGTTGGAAGGTTTCGACATGTTCAAGTTATTTAAAGCCGAGGTAGAAAATCAGTTGAACAAAAAGATCAAGGTGCTTAGAACTGATCGTGGTGGTGAATACACATCAGGAATATTAGATGATTTTTGCAAGGAAAATGGAATTATTCACCATTATACCTTACCATATACTCCTCAGCAAAATGGCGTAGCTGAAAGGAGGAATAGAACTTTAATGGACATGGTTAGGTCTATGATGGCATATTCAGATCTTCCTTTATCATTTTGGGGAGAGGCTCTTCATACTGCTGTTTACTTGCTTAATCATTCACCTTCTAAATCTGTTAGTTCTACTCCTTATGAATTATGGAAAGGGAGGAAACCTACATTGTTGAACTTAGCAGTGTGGGGATGCAATGCACAGATTAGAGTACCTAGTCAACTAAGAACAAAACTGGAACCTAAGAGTTTTCCAGGAATATTTATTGGATATGCTTCTGGTTCAAATGGATATAGATTTTATGATCCAGAGAGGAAGAAGTTAATTGAAAGTAGAGATGCCATTTTTCTAGATCAAGATACACCTCGCCGTGCAAAACGTGCGAGAGTGGAATTATTGACAAACCCGTTAGATACAAGTGTTGAAACTGATTCTAACAATCAGGAAAACCAAGCTGATGGCAATGTAAATGTTGAGACTCCCATAACTAGTTTACCTAGGAGAAGTGGGAGGAATGTAGCAGCCCCATCATACCTTGATGATTATTATGTATTTATGGGGGAAGTATACTCTAAAACTTCTAGTTTAGAGGAAGAACCAAAATCTTTTAAACATGCCATGTCTTGTTCAGAATCAAAGTTATGGATGGAAGCCATGCGTGAGGAACTAAACTCCATGGAAAAGAATGAAGTTTGGGAATTAGTTGATCTACCTAATGACCGGAAGGCAATTGGATCAAAGTGGATTTTTAAAAGGAAACTGAATGCTTCTGGAAATGTTGAAAAATACAAAGCTAGGTTGGTTGCTAAAGGGTACACACAAAGGGAAGGCGTTGACTTTGTGGAAACTTTTTCCCCTGTAGCCAAATTTACTTCTATTCGTATTATTGCTACGTTGACTGCTTACTTTGATCTGGAACTTCATCAAATGGATGTTAAAACTGACTTCTTGAATGGTCATTTGAAAGAAGAGATTTATATGCCTCAACCTGATGGTTTTGTTGAAAAGGAAAATCAGGGAAAAGTGTGTAAGCTAAATAGATCTATTTTGGTCTTAGGCAAGCTTCACGACAATGGAATATTTTGTTTGATGATGCTATCACATCATATGGGTTTTCTATGATGGAAGGAGATCATTGCATTTATTTTAAAATAGTGGGAGGAAATTTTACACTCTTGTCACTTTATGTTGATGATATACTTATTGCTTCTAGTAGTAAGGAAATGTTGGTAGAAGTTAAAACTTGGTTATCTTCTACATTTGAAATGAAAGATATGGGAAACGCTTCCTATGTTCTAGGAGTGGAAATACTTAGAGATCGGAATAAAGGTACTTTGGGTTTGTCTCAAAGGAATTATTTAAAATCTGTTCTTAAACGTTTCTCTATGGAAAACTGCAAGCCTGCTTTAGTCCCAATGGCTGTAGGAATTAAACTCAATGAGGGTATGTGTCCTAAAACTCCTGAGGAAAAGAAGAGAATGGAGAAGACTCCATATGTTTCTGCCTTGGGATCTTTGATGTATGCCATGTTATTCACACGCCCTGATTTGTGCTATACTGTTGGAGTGTTGAGTAGATATCAAATGAATCCAGGAATTGGGCATTGGAATCAAATTAAACATGCTCTTCGTTATGTTCAAGGAACACTGGATTATTCACTCTGTTTTAACCAAACGGATCTACAGTTGCAGGGCTATACTGATGCTGATTGGCAGGGTGATCTGGATGACCGGAAGTCTACGTCTGGGTATCTATTTACATTAGCTGGTGGCGCTATATCTTGGAGTAGTAAGAAGCAAGATTCAGTGGCATTATCTTCCATGGAGGCGGAGTATATTGCTGCGTCGGAAGCTGTGAAGGAGGCGGTGTGGCTGAAGGAATTTCTTTCGACTTTGAAGATTGTTGAGAGTGCTAGCAAACCAGTGGTGTATTGTGATAATCATGCTGCAATAAAGGTTTCCAGATATCCCAAGTTCCACAGCAAGATCAAACATATTGAGGGAAGGTATCACTATATACGTGATGTAATTAATAGACTTAAGTCTGTTTCTTTAGAGTTTCTACCTAGTACTGATATGGTTGCTGATCCCTTGACTAAGTCACTTAGTCAGGTGGTATTTGGTAAACATGTTCAAGCTATGGGTTTACGAATTTTTTGAATGATCGTTTTGGACAAGTGGGAGATGTTAGGATTATGTGTCCTACAACTATATTCAAATACTTATTATCATTAATATTCGGAATACCTCATATGGAATTATACATGTGTTTTGTGCATGGAATTACTCTTGCTAGAATGTACTTAAGTGTTGCATGCTTAAGGAAGCCGGTCAATTATCGGTGGAATACAATATGCTTTATATATTGGAAAGACTACCCGGGTATGCTGATAATTGGAAGAAGCTAGATCGTGTAATTAGATTACGACCCTAATGTTGATCTACATAATTAGAAGAATTTATACTCTATTATGACGCGTTGCTCACAGGCGCGTGCTTCAGGGACTCAACGGATAGGATCCACTAACAGACAAATTATATCGTGGTTGGTAGTTTGATCTGGACTCTATCCGGAAACTAGTTTAAAGACTAGGAATCTTATAACTGTATAAGAGGCGGACTCTTTGGAAACGCAGTATAAGAAGGTCCCTACCCCCTAGCCTCGGAGATGCGATTGTGAGCGGCATCACGGAAAAGCGTGGAGGAATAGGGGTAGACCACAACATATTTCCTACATTCGTCTCGGCGAGCAGTCATGGTTCTGCTTCGAGGTGCTTCAGAACGCAGCTGATTCATATATTTTTTCCCCTGTATTTAGCTAGACTTGCTCCGTCCATAACGCTCCAGGGAGAGGATGTAGTGGGTGCTCTTGCTGCATTTTTTGTTGTTTGACGATTGTTGGATGTAGTACTGGCTTTCTTTGGAATCTTTGGCACATGAATGACATGTCCGCTGGTGATTATGTGGTCTGCATTGCTGCTTCATATTCATGCATCACAATTATACTGAGACATTTTCTTTTTTGCACCGTTGGTTTAGCAAGTGTATGGTGTAAGGTCATGTCAGAGTATGATCCATACTGTTACTTCTTGACTGTTACATATAAGCTCATTTCCTAATACTATTGGTGATTCTGAGTGCTTGCACGTCAAAGTTACACCCCTAGCCTTTTATCAACTCCTTGGTGGACTGGTTGTCAATATCTGAACATGGTAGATATTGCCTTAAAGGAAATGAATGGTTGGCCATCACTCTCCCAGTTACCATAATATGATAACTTTAACAGATAACAACATCATCAAACCACCAAAAACATATTAAAACCCAACTTAAATTGTATAAAATAGATCAGAGCAGCAAAGTAATAGGCAAACCTTTTAAAATTTCAAGTGACAACTTAAATGTGTTGGATGATGCAAATAAAATGAACCGCTCTGGCAGTCGTAAGAAATTACGTTACAACAACTAGGCACAATAAAGAACATCTACAAATATATAAATAGGAGCAGCTTTGTAATTTACATCTGGTTTCTCACAGGTCTGAACTTCTCCTAAAAATAAGCAACATGATTGGTTATACTCAACCCATGGAACATGTAGCAGAGATCTTTAGCCCAGCATTGATTACCCTTTGTATGCAATACAGAAACTATCGATTAGAACTTCCAGAACAAAGCTTTGATCCAACATTCTTGGTCACACTTGCTGGAGGATCAACAAAATTATGTTCACTGGGTGTCGCTGCCCTCTCCCATCTCTTTGCAGGAAACTTCTTGTTCGGAAATCATCTGGTGGCCTTTGACGGACTAGCCGAGGAGGAGAGAATGAAACGACAGGTTGATGAGCAGCAGAAGGAGTTGCATCAGCAAGAGCCCGCTCATCTGCCGGTCCAGTATTGTCCCTTTGGACATGGAACCACAGTCCATCCTTTGGTGCGCCTGACCCTGACAGTCATCAAAATGAAATTCTAAAGAATATTGACTCCATTGAAAATGGATTTTCTTAACCCTGCTGGGAGTAGTGCCTGTAAACTTCATGGCTCTGTGAATAAAATAATTGTAAATTAGTCACTCTGAAAAATACAAAAAAGATCGTTCAAAATAGACTAGAAAAACATAGGTTTTACACACCGTAATTTCTGAATTTGACTGAAGTAGTAAACAAAAGAGAACAAAAAATAATAGAATTATACAAGAACAAAAGGAACCTTAGAACCTCTTATTTCTCCTCCTAAACAAGAAGTAAACATATATCTCTAAAATTGTGAGCTTAAAGGCTTGACATGATAATTGACATCCTTGACAAAAATTTCTACAGGGAATATTTTTTTGATGGAACATAATAAATAATATTGTACAAGCCAACAGTCTACATTCAACACACTAGTAGTAACCAAAAATCGACCATAGCAAGAAGCCACAAGTTAATAAAGATTCAGAGTTATGGGCAGAAAACTAAATATTTTCTGTTTCGTAAATGAAGAGCTTCATTTATAGAGGAAAAAAACTTTTAGGCAACATTTACATGGTATATGACAGTACTAAACCCTCCTTCATCAACCATGGAATCTACACGACGAGTAGAAGTGAACTAATAATGACATGGTCTATCAACAAAAACAAAGAAGGGTTCTGCTCCAACACATAGGAACTGGGCAAAAAGATATTAAATCTGAGTATTAACCTTGAAGGACAGCTACAACCAAACCAAATAAATTGGAGGAGGAGATCAAAACTGCAACAGCAATGCCTAGCCTATGCCTATTGGGACATGATCTTAATTCAAATAACTAAATTACTTTCACTAACTGTAGCCATACTGGGAATAAATGGACACATACTCCTGCAAATTTATGTAGAGGGGGCGATACTGAAGAGCTCCAGCAGCGAAGGCCTGGTTGCCGACCATCGTGGTGGGAGGAGATGCAGAGCACATCAACAAGCAAGTCAACAGTCAACGTAGCCTGACACCGAGAACCACCAGCAACGCTGCACGACGACCGCCCGCGACGCTGCACAACTGCTCTGGTGCTGCGAATCGACGACCACCCGCGACCCTGCACAACTGCTCCGGTGCTGCGAATCGACCACCACCCACCACAGTGCAAACACTAGAGAGTGATCCAAAGAAGCAGTTACAGAGTGGTACATGCAAGAACACAAACACCGGCACATAAGGTGGTATCTAAGTTACTTCTTTAGACAAAATTGTCACACCCCGCTTTACAAGAAGCAAAAACAGTTTGCTGAGGATACCAGCTCTGACAGGCAGTCATGAACACATGACAAGCCAAGTGCAATCCATAAATATCATCCACTTGTATCTCACGAACCTATCCAAAAAAACACCATGTACGTAGGAGAGGCACACAAGCATATATACCAGAAAAGAACTGAGAACACATCCAGATAGTACTCAAAACTCCCACTGTTACATATCCCTGTGGTGGTTCTTTACCTTTTCTATTGTTTATTTCCGCAGCTTACTAAGTTCAGGCTAGAAGAGGCATGAATCCTATAGTCGGTTATCAAGCAATCTACTTGGATCTTGTTGCCACATGCAGAGGCATTGCTTTTGCTGAGAAGTACTTCCTGCCATCGCACGCACCAAGTAACAGCCATTAGACCCAAAAAAAAAAAATCCAGGAGCACAAGGGCCTAATAAGAAACAAAAGGAAACACGGTTTGGGTTCAGCTTTCATCTGTGGGCGCTCGATCCTATCCCCTCCCTTCTCTGTTTTCTACCTGTCCCCAAAAACTGATGTAAAACTCTGTCATTGGCCCTCCCCAAGATTATTCAGAAAGGAAGAAGCACAACAGTGACTAACAACTGATCTCCCGGTTCTTCCATGAGCTCTTGCAAAATAAAACACATCATCACCTCCCAGATAACAATGACAACACAGCAAATCTGGTACTGAACCCTTCATAATGAAAATTTGTAAAAGAGAGCATTAGAATTGAAGATGCTCACCTCCTCCCATGGACTTACACACACGGAGCAGATCAGGCACGACCACCCACTGCAGTTTCATGACATCGCCATCACAACCCAAAGCTGCGCCGCGATCACCAATCATGGCGCCTCCCAAGACCTAGGCAGCCGCCAAACATCACGCCAGATCACCTGCCCAGCGACGAACACAACCTCGAGCCACCGTCCTCTAACCACACTGCCGAGCAGCACACCGCCATGCACCGACGGCTTCCCTTCGAGCCAACCCGTGGAGCACCATACCACCGTTCGCCGTCAATACTGTCAAAACCGTTCGCGGCCTCTTATTTTTAGAAAATACTAAAAACAACTGTTCGCGGCGGACTAGAAAAGGACGTGGAGGTGGGCTAGTTTGAGTCAACCTCCAAAACGTAAGATTAGCTCGACCATGCTGTAATTTTAGAGTCACGGGACGGTGGTTTTTTTTCCCATCTCACGACCGTGGCGTGGTTGGACCGAAAGTATGGCTGGCTTGGTCGATCGACCAGGGTGAAGAATTACTTATTCTTCACCCTGGGTTACTAATAGACTTTCTATATATAGCACATATGCCCGTGCGTTGTAACGGGAGAAACAAATTTAATATATTTTTTTCCAATTTTGTTTTTGTTATACATAAGCATAATGTCCCATAGTGAGTTCACTACGAAGAACACTAGTCGTCCCGTCAAACAAAATACACAACAACGTAGAATCCAGCATGATAATAAAGTCTAAAAGAAATGCATGTCAATCATTAATCAGGAAAAGAGCATTAGCGTCAGCATGTTAAAAAAAGAGCCTTAGGGTCGATGGTATGTCTGACTGTTACAGTCCAGCAGCACTAAAGATGACTTGTTTAAATTAAAGCCATCTGAAATTCCCCAAATCCTTGCCCACAAATCTTTCTGCATTTATCAAAGCTCCACAAAAAAATCTCAACATTTTTGGGCACTTTCTAGAACCTAGTCCTAGTTACCCATTTGAATTAAATTCAAATATGTTTGAATTTAAACCTTGCAGTCATGTCCACTTCACTTTTATCGATCTCAACCTGCTGTATCCAAATTCATTTGATTTATCCAGCCTACCTACACATTTTACTTAGAGATTTGGGAAGTGACTAAAGATATTGCACAAGATAAAAGCCAGGCCCGGAGAACTCAAGGTTCTAGCTCAATTCCTCAGTTTTGTCTATCTCAAGGTTTGATCCTTGGATAAACGAGCTCTTAGAATGAAGCACTTAGTGGAATTTTCAGTCAGGAAATCCCATCAGCTTACAAATTTTGGAGGATGTACTGGGCTCATTTATCGATGTATTTGGGACTGCTTGTCACCAAAAAAAAAGGGAAACAAATTGCCTGGACGCTCATCAGAAACCAGATCAAAGTCAGAGAGCTCCTTAAAAAGCAGGGACTCGACGACAGTGATACCTGCCCCTTTGGATGCAACGACCAAGAAACGGCTGCACATTTAACTCTGAAGTGCATCAGGATGAAACATATATGGGGCCTTATGGGCATAAGGCTAGATGATGTGAAAGAATGGGCTGGCATTTTTAACACGGGTGACAAGCTTCTCTGTGAGACAAAAACAGTGAACCATATACTCTCTGGTCCATTTGGCTTGCAAGGAATCGAAAGGTCTCTGATGACATTAATATACCTCCAGTCATGAAACAATGTGTGAATTTGGTCAAAATATGGATGCCCAGGACAGAAAAAGATGAAGGCTCTCTATTAATTTGGCAAAACTGAACTCCCCCCTCTCTCCCTAATGCATCAACCACTCCGGATGCACTCGTTGTGCTCTGGTTTGTAAAACTCTCATTCACAAGCGTTAAGCGTGTGCACTTCTAGATGTAATAATCTGAAGGTAGGGGCCCTGATTTGCTCAACAAAACAAAAGTAAGGTCGAATTGACGACCCCAACAACTGCAGCTCCCAGATCATACCGCTAAAAAAATATCTAATACCGGTAGCTCTTTAGTTAGACAAAACCTATTTCCAGGAGGGGGGCAGCGAGAGAACCAACCTGGAGAGGATCTGGGCGTCGAGATCCCTGCGGATGTTGAAGGCCGATCCGTAGATGGCCTCGGTCCCAAACTTCTTCTTCTCGTCCCAGAACTTGGCCTCCTGCACGCGCGCGCGCACCAAAAGAAGAAGAAAAAAACTCCGATTCAGCGCGCGCTAGGGTTTGAAGGAACCAACGGGGGCGGATCGGGGAGGGTTTTTACCTTGTGGATGGTGGCCTGGACGGGGTGCGCCGGCGCGAGGTCGCCGCGGACGCTGTCGTTGGCGCCAAAGCGGAGGACGTCGTGGGTCTCGCCGAGCTCCTTCTTCGTCATCAGACTGCCGCCGCTCGCCATAGCCGCTGCTGAGCCTCTATTTTTTTTCCTCTCTCTGTTCTCTCTGTTGTCTTGGGGTCGTGTGCCGCTACGCTCAACGCCATCAGGGGGGAGGCGCTCGATCCCCGCGTGCCCGACCGACCCTGCCGCCTGGCGAACCACCACCAGACCGCCGCCTACCGGTCTCTCGCCCCTTCTGCCCCGGAATGCAGATTTTGTGAGCTTATGCATCCGGGCCTCATTATCCTAACACTCCAATGTTGCTTTGAGATCTATGCTACACAACTACCTTATTATATGGAATTTTCTCTTTTTTGTTCCTCTCATATAAAATATGTCTTGAACTTTAAACTTTGCAGTACAACATAACTTTGTAACTAGAATGCGAGATAAAACTTTCAGATTTTTTTGTCCGACATAAATATGAAAAATAAGATTTTTTAATCAAATAAATCTCATTTTATATATTTATGTTGGACCAAAAAATCTGTAAGTTTTATCCCACATTCTACATAGAAAGCTTTGTTGTGCTGCAAAGTTGAAGTACAAAATACATGTTCTATATGAGAGAAACAAAAAAGAGAAAATTATTTACACGAATCGTGATGCAGGAATGAGTGGTTGGATAAGGAGTACCCGGGTGCATAGGCT